TATTTTAAATTTATGTTTTAAATTTAAAAAATCAAATTAAATTAATTGAAACTAAACAACAAAAATATATATTAAAAAAATTTAAATTGTTTTAAAACACTAATAAATTTAAATTAAGAGGGATATGATATTAGAAATAACTATTTTATCTAATAACTAGCTGTTTGTAGTGTAATACAATTTAAATTTCAGTTCATCTCACGGTATGTATAAAATTTTTACAAATAAAAAGAAAAACGACAATATGTATAAAATCAAACAAAAAAAAATGATCTAGAAACAGTGTATGGCATAGGCCGAACAGGTACAAAGAATATCAAGATTTTCTCTAAAAAAATCAACACTCCGAGATCTGGACCGACAAAACAAAACCGTAGTCAATAGTGTGGGGGCGATAAGATAAGCTACTTCTCCTTTCTTCCCCCCAACTTGGTGTCGTTTTATCAGAGTCCACAGCGACAGCGCCGCCCCCACCAATTTGCACATATGTACGTATCTATCGCATGTGAAATGTACGGAGGTAGCTAGCATCCAGCTCATCCCTTGGCGTTCACCCAGGATCATGTGGGCTGTCTCAGTTTTTTTTCTCACCTTTCTCATTTGGCTTCTTTCCCATTACTGTCCTTTGGGAATCTTTTTTTCTGGGGATGGATCAAGCAAGGGGTTTCGTTTTTTTTGTTAATTAATGATTTGGTAATGGGTTTTTGGATTTGATTCTTATGCATGCATGTGTGTGCATGATTCATGTATCTAGTTTCATTGCAATTTGCAACCCCTTTTGCCCTTTTTTTTTCTTATCTATTATTATTCATGGTTTGTTCTAGATTTCAATTTTGCTGTCTGCTATGAAGAATTTGGTTCCACTTTATGTTTCTCAACTTGTTTTTATGTATTTCCTAACTCTGCTTTAGTCAAAGCAGGTAAGCTTAAGTGTCTTTCATAGAAAATAAAATAAAATAAACAAAAAAAAAAAGCAAGTTGGTTTATGTCTATTTCATCAATCTATATATATTTTTAAGACTTTGTTTAGTATATTTATTTTTAGAACTTTGTTAATATAGTTGCAGAAGATTAAATTGGGCCTAATAAGTTTTTCTCTAAATTATTTTGATTTTTTAACTATTTTACGAGATATATCCTCTATAAATAGACCCACCGAGAAGTTAGAGCCACGCATGGTT